AAGATCATTTTCCCCTACCTTTCATTGATCAGATGCTGGAGAGGTTGGCGGGCCATGAGTTCTATTGCTTCCTGGATGGCATGTCTGGTTACTTCCAGATTCCTATTGCACCGGAGGATCAGGAGAAGACCACATTCACTTGCCCCTTCGGCACTTTTGCTTACCGGAGGATTCCATTTGGGCTGTGTAACGCACCGGCGACCTTCCAGAGATGCATGCTGGCTATCTTCGACCGACTGGTTGGAGAGATCATGGAAGTCTTCATGGATGATTTCTTGGTATATGGAGACTCCTTCACTCACTGTCTCCATAACCTGGAACTCGTTCTGAAGAGGTGCGAGGAAACTAATCTGGCACTCAGCTGGGAGAAGTGCCATTTCATGGTTCGTGAGGGCATCGTGCTTGGGCACAAGATCTCCAAGAAGGGGATTGAGGTAGATCGCGCGAAGATTGAGACGATCAGTCAGCTACCTCCTCCCGTTTCTGTGAAGGGGATTCGCAGCTTTCTGGGTCATGCAGGCTTTTACCGGCGCTTCATCAAAGATTTCTCGAAGATTGCCCTGCCATTGCCAAGCTGCTGGAGAAGGATGCGCCATTCCAGTTCACTCCCGAGTGCACAGCTGCATTTGAGACTCTGAAGGAGAAGCTTACCCATGCCCCTATCATGGTGACTCCTGACTGGTCTCTTCCTTTTGAGCTGATGTGCGATGCGAGTGACTATGCAATCGGAGCAGTTCTGGGTCAGAGACGCGAGAAACACTTCCAGCCCATCTACTACGCGTCGAAGACCTTGAACGATGCACAGGAGAACTAAACCACCACAGAGAAGGAGCTCCTCGCTGTGGTGTATGCGTTTGACAAGTTCCGACCTTATCTGGTGCTCTCTCATGTGGTGGTTTACACTGACCACTCGGCAATTCGTTATCTGATGAGCAAGGCTGATGCCAAGCCTAGGCTCATCCGCTGGATCCTGCTGATGCAGGAGTTTGATATCGAGATCCGGGACAAGAAGGGAGCCGAGAATGTTGCTGCAGATCATCTTTCACGGTTGGAAGCCCCTCCGGTGGACAACTTCGAGGAAGAGATTGACGACTCCTTCCCAGGTGAGCGATTGCTGGCGATGACCCTGGTGGACAGCGTGGCCCCTTGGTATTCTGACTTTGCCAATTATCTGGTGGGCAAGCAGTTACCCAAGGGGATGGCTACTCATGCGAAGCGCAAGTTCTTCTCCGATCTGAAGCACTACTTCTGGGAGGATCCTTACCTCTTCAGAATCGGAGCAGATGGCGTGATCCGGCGCTGTGTCATGGAGCATGAGATGGGAGACATCCTGTCTCAATGTCACAAGGGACCTACTGGAGGTCATCATGGAGGCACCCGCACAGCGCGGAAGGTACTACAGTCGGGCTTCTATTGGCCCTCGCTCTTCAAGGATGCAGACACCTTCGCACGCCAGTGCGACCGCTGCCAGAGGTCAGGTAACATTTCTGCCCGGGATGAGATGCCCCAACATATATCTGTTATTTGTGAAATTTTTGATGTTGGGGTATCGATTTCATGGGCCCATTCCCTCCATCTTTTGGCAATCTGTACATTTTGGTTGCAGTGGACTACGTCTCGAGGTGGGCAGAAGCTCAAGCCATGCCCACCAATGATGCACGACGGGTCTGCTCATTTCTGAAGCAGCTGTTCTCCCGGTTCGGGACACCTCGCGCCATTATTAGTGATAGAGGAACCCATTTTCAGGGGCAATTCACTAAACTCCTCTCTCGCTATGGCGTTAAGCATCAGGTGTCGGTGGCCTATCATCCCCAGTCAAATGGGCAGGCCGAGCTGACGAACCGGGAATTAAAACGGATAATCGAAAAGACGGTGGATCAGTCCTGCAAGGATTGGTCCACCAAGCTCGATGATGCTCTCTGGGCGTATAGGACTGCCTATAAGAACCTGATTGGCACTTCTCCCTATAGGCTTGTCTATGGGAAGGCGTGCCATTTGCCGGTAGAGCTAGAGCACAAGGCCTTCTGGGCCATTAAGCTGCTAAACATGGATTTGAGTGTTGCAGGTACATAACGTAAATTGCAGCTGCTGGAGTTGGAGGAGTGGCGTTACCACACCTACGAGAACACCCTGCTCTACAAAGAGCGCACCAAGCGTCTCCACGACGCTAGGTTGAGGGGCCCGAAGGAGTTTCAGGTAGGTGATCGTGTTCTGCTCTTCAATGCACGCCTGAAACTCTTTCCGGGCAAGCTCCGTTCGAGGTGGCGGGGTCCCTTCACGGTGACCCAAGTTTTCCCGCACGGTGCGGTGGAGATCAGCAATGCTCAAACCGAGCCATTCAAGGTGAATGGCCACCTCCTAAAGTTATACTTGGGAGGTGCTGTCGAGCGCGCAGAGCTGCTGATCAAGCTCGAGGACCCTTAGTTCCTCTACTGGCGTCCAGCTAAAAGACGGTAAAGAAGCGCTTGTGGGGAGGCAACCCCACCACGGTTTGCATTTCTATCCTTTTTCCTTTTTTATTTTTGTCGTTTTTGAGTCATTGAGTCTGTCTGGAGTCTTTCTGGAATGTTTCTCGTGCCCCGGATGGTCTATTTTGGTCTATGGTGGTGTATTTTTTTGAACCGGGGCACGTTTGGGTTTGGATGTTCGATTTTGCAGCTTAAAAACTGGAGAAAAAGGGCCCTCGGCAGTAAAATTACGGCCATGGGGGGAGTAATTACGGCCGTAATTCATCTACCCCCTGCCCGTAATTAATTCAGACCAAGAAAACTGAAAAAACAGGCTCGGCATGGAAATTACGGGCAAGGGGGTCAGAATTACGGCCGTAATTCTTAACACCCCTGCCCGTAATTCGATCAGAGGAGGCAATTTGCTCTCGGCCTTAAAATTACGGGCAAGGCCGGGGGAATTACGGCCGTAATCCTGCCCGTAATTCCCCCCGAGCCTCGTTTAAAAAGTGTCGGCCGAGACACTTCCCTCTCTCTCTCCCTCATTTTTCTGGTCACTTTCTCTCCCCTCTCACCGGAAAACTCGAACCAACTCTTCTCCGGTGGTTTTCCGGCCATATCTCGCTCATCGGAGGTCCAAATCAAATTCCGAGACCACCCCCGTGCTCCTCTCGTCGGCGCCCACAAGTCTATACCAGTGGGGTCGAGTTTCGTGGTGGTTTGGGTCGCCGGAAAACCGCGACCCTTCGGTATTCCTCCGGCCCGATCTCCCTCCTCGGACCTCCGATCAAGAAACCGCGACCACCACCTTGTTCCTGGTACTTGGGGCTTCATTCCCCAAAGTTTTGGGTCGGTTTTGCTCTGGTGAATTCGCCGGCGACGAAACTCCGGCGAGCCTCCTGGCGAGTTTCCCGGCGATTTTTTGTGGTCTCTCGGTCTTTCCTCACCCTCCCCACGATATCCTCTTGTGCCTCCAGGTTTGCTTCTATACTTTTACTTGTCATTTGTGGAGGATTGATATTGTGGGTTTAGTGAGGAATTTCGGGAATTGGTTTGTGCTTGAATTAATTCGGTAGGCCTCCATTGTTGCTTGCTTTGTTTGCTTATCTTTCGGTTGGCCTACCGAGTAATATGAGTTGTGATTGTTCTGCTTGGAGCCTAATTTGCTGTCCGGGTTTATAATCCGAGGGCTCCAAGTGCGTTTGAGTTTCTGTGAATGGTGAATGCTTCTGATTGGTTGTGAATGGTGAATGATCTGCTTAGTTATGAATGTTTTTCCTTTCTCGGGGCCTAGTCCACTGTCCGAATTTATGATTCGAGGGCCCCGGGTGAGGGTGATTGTGACATCACCATTGACGAATTTCCATGTATGTTGTTGGATTTCCGCTGTTTTGTGGCTGCAGGAAAATGAACACGTTCTTGAACCTGCTCGACGCCGACCAGAGGCAGACTTTGCGGGACATCCGACGCCGCAAAGTCGTTCATCACCACTACCTCGACTGGAGGGTCTTCGAGGAGCTGGGTGCTCGCGAGGCAATGGAGGCTGCCATCCGCGCTTTCTCTTGGCGCCGCCTCCTCTGCCTTGCTGAGCCGATTTATCAGGAGCTCCTTTGGGAGTTCTACTCCACCTTCGAGCATTTCCAAACCCATGCGGGCGAGCACGGCAACGCCATCCAGTTCAGACTCGGAGGGGAGTTCTACTCCCTGAGCTATGACGATTTTGGTCGGGCACTGGGGCTCCTTCCACCATTCCCCTGTCACCTGGCCATCGAGGAGCCCGACAGTCCCATCTTTCGGGACCAGCAGTTCTTCGAGAGGATCTGCCTCCCGGAGTATACTGGCGTTGTTTTCACATCGGGCCACACCACGGCCACTCAGCTGCGACCAGAGTGGCGCATCATCAACCAGCTGTTGGGGAAATCCTACACCCCCAGCGAGGGCTCCACCAGTCATCTTCAGCTCCGCACCCTGCATTGCCTGCACTCCATGAGCCACGAGGTGGACAACCTCCATCTGTCATCGCTCATCGCCAGGACCGTTGCCAAGCATAAACGGTGTAATCGACGCCTGGCGTGTGGGCCGGTGGTCACTGCCCTGGCGCGGTACTACAACGTCGACCTCTCCCGGTTCATTCTCATCCAGGAGGCGACGCCATTCTCCAGGGAGACCCTCTGGCGCCAGCTGATACTGGAGCGTGAAGGGAACGTGACCTGGATCCGGGGCCTGCCTCGCCCTGTTCCTTGTGCACCAGAGGGTGAGGAGCTACCCGAGGCGAGTGATGCTGCAGCCCGTCGAACCACTCGTCGTACGAGGACTCGGCCCACACCCTCTGCACCTGGCGACTCCACTTCCGGTGCCGGCCCGTCTGCTGCGCAGCCCACCACCTACATTTCCGAGCAGCTGGCAGCCCTCACCCGCCAGAACGAGCAGATCCTTGTTGGCCAGGAGCACATCAACGCCCGCCTCGACCGTGAGCGCGATGGTCGCCGCCGCATCATTTCAGCTCAGCATTACATGATGAGCTACTGGAACATGGATCCTGCTGCTGTGAGCCCCACGCCCACGGCGGAGTCGCATGCGGCCGGTCCAGTTGTTGCTTCTTGCTGATCATTTACTGATGTTGGGTCATTCTCTTGGTTTTACCGTCGCCGGCAATGAACATCCAGGGTTGGAGTCACTGACTAAGGAACTCACGGCATCGGCAAAGGAGCCGGAGTTCTTTGAGTGGACGAGAGGGATCAGACGGAGGATTCATGAGTTTTTCCACAGCTAGGTTTTGAAGAGCACAGAACTAGTGAGATCATTCGAGCAGAGCTTGATTTACTTGGGATTGATTATAAATGGCGAGTTGCTCACTGTGGTGTGGTCGCTTCCAATGGAAACGGTGACAAGCCAGTTTTTGCTCTCAGCGCCAACATGGATGCCCTCCCTCTTCAGGTCTTCTCTTCCTCTCTTCTCGGTTTTCACCCTGCATATCGGAAACAAAAGGGTATTATATGAAATTGCTACTGAACTCTTTTTGACTTCATGTTTCTGGGTTCCAAAGGAAAAGGTAGAGTGGGAGCACAAGAGCAACATTGACGGGAAGATGCATGCTTGCGGCCACGATTCTCATGTTGCAATGCTCCTTGGTGCCACCGAGTTACTCCATGCCAAAATTGACACACTTGAGGTGAATTGTAACACGATGTCTGGAAGTGATTAATCCTTTTGAATTTCTGTGTACTGATTTATTTATGCTGTTCACATATTGAAGGGAACTGTCAAGCTTGTATTCCAGCAAGGGGAAGAGGGTTATTCTGGTGCTTACCATATGTTACAAGACAGTTGTCACGTTGGTCTGAATGCCATCATAAGCATACATGTTCTGCCCTCAGTGCCTACTGGATGCGATTGCTTCAAGAGCTGGTCCATTTCTTGCGGGAGCTGGGCTCTTCTCTGCAACAATCCATGGAGTTGAAGCCATGCCCCATCCCATCATATGGGTAGAGACCTGATTCTGGCGGCATCTTCTGCAATAGTTGCTCTCCAATAGATCGTATCACGAGAGACTGATCCACTTGAGGCTGCAGTAAAATCCTATTTCTCATAATAGTTTGCAGGTTCATTAGATATCACAGACCAGACCATCACAGTAGCAGTAGCAGTTTAAACAATGGATTTCACTTCACTTTTTTCCAAAAATGAATAGGTGGTGACAGTGGGATTGATGGAAGGAGGCAAAGCAGGAAATGTAATTCCCGATTCAGCGTGATATGAAGTTACTTTTAGAAGTCTAAGCACAAAAGGTCTGCACATCCTTCAAGGGGGAATTAAAGAGGTAAAGAGTCCCTTATAACTTATTCAATACTGCTGTGTTTGTAATTGTGTTTTTCAAATCAGGGAAGTCAAGTAACAAAACAGCGTCTGCTCATTCTCTTTCCAGATAATCGAAATGCAGGCAGCAGTGCATAGGTGCAATGTCACAATGGACTTCATGGAGCACAGACATCTCCCACATCCCCCCATGATTAACGAAGAAGCAGTTTATAAGCATGTCAGGATGGTTGGAGAACTCTTACTTGGGGAATCCAATGTGCACACTTTTCTAGTCACCATGGGTGCAGAGGATTTCAGTTCCATCTCGGGGAAGATGCCTGCTACAATTTTTGTCACTGGAATAAAGAACGAGACTCTGAAATCAGATCAGCCACTTCACTCGCCTTAAACTCTCGATTGATGAGGAATCACTCCCTGTTGGTGCAACTCTTAATGCAGCTGCTGCAATCTCCTACTTGGATAGCCACACGATGCTTGTCCATTGTGATGAACCAGAATCTCCTTTACCTTTTGCAACAACTATCATATAGGAAAGTCCTCATCTTCAATAGAGGGCGTAGTCCCTGATAGATCTAGTAGTCTTAAAATATGCCCTCCCCATCTTTATGTGAAGAGAACCAATCGAAAGAAGTTAGTGGTAACATTATGGGGACTGTGCCTCTTACCTGTGCCATGATTAACAGTGAAAGCAACTGCATTCCTGACTTGAGAACTGAAATGATGTTCTCCAGCAAACAAGATCAGTTAGAATAGGCCACACTGCAGGCGATAGCTCAAAGGAAGCATTGCCAGATGATCTTTGAACCCTTATTTAAGGACAGAGAGAACAAAGCCATTCCCCATAGCAGGTACCTTGAATTGTTATCATGCAGCAGCATAGTAGAGTATTCCAAGAGCAACTAGGTACAAAACCCAATCAATTAAGTTTGAAGTCGCATGTACGTGAAATTACACAAGCAACGAAAAGCCCAATCAACAGCAATGTTTCAGAAGGAGGTGGTTCCCCGTGAAAAATTGTTGTCCCTCCTTCGGATTACCTCCATATGGACAGAACCACAAATCTGGAGCAGAAGATGCTGTCATTAAGCCAACACCAAGAATCCACAGTTTAAGCTCTATACCCAACTGCAACCCAACTTTTCTAAGCCCTCTCTCCTTCATCTTTTCTCTAAGAAGAGAAACATCCAACCAACGATCTGATGCAGCATAAATGTCAGACAGCAGCACATAATTCGCGGCATTTTGTGGTTCAAGCTCAAATAGTCTAGTGGCAACTTTCTCACCCAACTCAAGATTAACATAAAGCTTACAAGCTCCAAGAAGTGCACCCCAAGCACATGCATAAGGCTCTAAAGGGCACGATACTAGAAGCTGGTAAGCAGCTTCAAGCCGTCCTGCCTTACTCAGAAGATCAACCATGCATGCGTAGTGGTCAGGAGTTGGGACTAAGGAGTACTTATCCGTGAGAGTAGTGAAAAAATTCCAACCCTCTTCCACAAGGCCAGCTCGACTACAAGCTGACAAAATCACTGTAAAGGCAACCTCATCTGGAACCAACCCCTCATCTAGCATCCTATTGAATAGTTCAATTGCTTGATCACCACGCCCATCAATTGAATATCCTTTTATCATAGAACAATACGTAATCAGATCATGCTGAGGCATTCTGTTGAACAATACTTCTGCTCTAGCCATGTTCCCGCACCTTGCATTCATGCCAATAAGGGCAGCCATGACATGAGCTTGACAAGCATCAATCGAGGTTTCGCTCAGGTAGTAATCAACCGATTTGGCCAAATCCAAGCTACCTATCTGTGCACAAGCTGACATCAAGCTCACCACGATGAATTCATCAGGTTTAACACCCCCAGACTCCATTTCTTTAAACATTTCCAAAGCCTGCTTTGGCATACCATTTTGAGCAAATCCCGATATCAATGCTGACCATGCCACAATATCTTTCTCTGGACAAGATTCGAACAATGCCATTGCAGAAGCCATATCTCCGGACTTGGCATATCCATCAATTAAAACAGTATAATCAACCACATTCTTTCGAGGCATTTCATCAAACCACTTTCTCGCACCAACAATGTCTCCGGTTTTGACCAACCCAATGATCATAGCAGTCCAGGAGACCGAATTCCTCACTGGCATTCGGCCAAACACATTCCTAGCATTGCCCATGTCCCCAGCATTTGCATACCCAGCAACCAGTGCTGTCCAACACACAACGTTTCTATCTGGCATTTCGTCGAACACTTTAGCTGCACTTATCATCTCAGTACATTTACCATAAAAGTCAATCAAACCCGAACCCACGAACATGTCAACTGCGACCCCGTATCTAATCGCCGACCCATGAACAATTTGACCTTCTCTCAACTTACATTCACGCGAACACAAGGTCAGGAGGGAAGAGAGAGTGTACTCATCTGGGGACGCACTATCACTCTTCTTCATCCTCGTATATAGCAGAAATGACTCCCTGGAACGGGAATTCCGAGAATAACCTTTCAACAGAACGTTGTAGAGCAAGGTGGAAGGAGCGACCACTCTGTTGAAAACCGAGGTCGAGTACGAAAGAGACGCCGACAGTGACGTTAATAGCTTCAGTAAATTGGAGATGGTCCAATGGTCTTGCTCGAGGCCTCTGCAAATAATGTGAGCGTGGAACTGCTGAAGATGGCAAAGGGTTTTGCAGGATTGTATCAGAAGACGGATTGAAGGCCTGGTAGACAACTTCAACATTGCCTACATTCATCTGCCAAAGAAACCGAAACAAACTCCACCGCGGCGGGGAAGGTAAGGAAAACAGAAGCCAGCCGCGAACTTCAAAACTTCTTTTCTATTTCTTTTGGTTAATATATTTGTATGATCCAAACTTTTCAAAAATTAATCTTTTCGATCTATAACATTATGGTCACAATTATGTTACGAAATTAGTCAAACCCGAAATTTGATCGTTAACTTAAACGATTAACCGGTTGGCTAACGGTCAACACGCCGCGTCACTGCCAAATCAGAACAAACCACTTAAAAAATTTGGTTATTTTCACTTATTATCATTTATCTTTTTTATTTTGAACAAAAGAAGAAAAAGAGGAACATTTGTTTTTATTTTGAAAAAAATAAATGATAATAGGTGAAAAAAACCAAAAAATTTAAGTGGTATGTGCTGACTTACCAGTGACGTGGTGCGTTGGCCGTTAGTCAACGCGTTTGACCGTCTAAGATAACGGTCAAATTTCGGGTTTGGTCAATTTCGTAACTTTGATGCATAGTTGAGGCCACGATGTTATAGATCGAAAAAATTTGCTAGAATATTGAATTTGTGAAAAGTTCGGGTAATACAAATATATTGACCCTAAAATTAACTGTCGGTTAAAATTTGATATTTTGGAAAATTATCTAATGTATTGTTAAAGTTGAAAGGTATAGATAATAAATTGTATTTAATCTAATATTTATGCGTTAATCATTGTTGGTCCATCAACTCTAACGTTTTTCCTATCAATGACCTTATAAGTATTTTTTTTTTAGTTAATACCTTATTCTGACCCGAATTATAACCATATAATCAACGTTGGCCCGTTGTTTCATAAATTAGCATTCTAGTCTCAACTATGCACCTTATATACTTAATTGGCCGGATGCTTGTTTTGACCGTTAATTTGGACGGTCAATATGCCATGTCAACATACAAAATATTAAAAAATTCGAAATTAATCCAAAATTAAATATTTTTTCCTAATATCTATAATTTACATTTAAAATATCGAAAAAGAAAAAGTAATTGGCAAAATCCTCTAGTCATCCTTCTCGTCGACGTCAAAAACCAGTTATACTCGACTCCAGTGAAATAATCCACTCGGTACCCCAGGCATCCCTCGACGTCGACCACAGTCCTGCGTTATTCGTCTCCACTGATAAACTCCAGAAACAGCCCATCTCGTCGGTTGTTCAATCGCTGGGCATTCGAACGACCGATTGGGCGGCGGAAGCGAGGCCGATTAGGCAGAGGATGAAATTAGAAAGATCTGGGCGACTGCGATCGTGGCAATTTCTGGGGTGAAGGAAACCAGAGAAGGATTTGGCACTTTGTTTTCTTGTTTTATAAATCCGAATTCGAAGGATTGTCGGGAGAGAAGAAAACCGAAGATGCCTCCATCTCCAATGGTCGCTCGTACAATTGTTCCCTAAGATTCGTCGGCCTCCTCCTCATTTCGACAAGCTCCTCGATTCCCATCTCCTCGATAGATCTCAGGATTAAGGATAGCTTCAGAAAGGCTGGTGCGGTAGAGGTCGGCGACGATGACAATAAGGTGAAGATGACGATAAGGTGAAGATGCCGCAACTAGCTTCTGAGCGGCTGAGTGGGTGTGTAATTTATTCTGTATTGTGTACTAATTCAATTTGGGGGTTTCGTTTATGCACTTTTGGTGGGTTCAGGCTTATCAAGTCGAATTGGAGTCTAGCCTCTCTCTTCGGTGCAGGGAATCTCTCAACGGCCTTCTCTGCTCATCATGATCCTGATTTAAGAACTGGTTCACGATGGGATCGACGGCGGGGTTGCCGAAGGAAAAGGGTTTGCCCTCGGGGGAGAAGATGATGATGGGATCTGGGGATAGGGCGACGAGCCTGGGGGCTATCGCCGCTAGAGATTCCCCTGCCGCTACCGCCTCCATATACTGGAAGCAGGAGAAGAACGAGCGGAAGGAGAGGAACTTGCCCAGCAAGAAGGCATCGTTGTTGGGGAAGAGCAGTTGTTCATCATCGAGAAAGCGCCGCTGTTGGAGAACGGGCTGACATTGTTTCGATCGAGTTCTCCCTTTCCTTGGCAGGAAGAAGCCAGCGTTCCACGTTATTGGTTAGAACAATCAAGGTTTCTTTTGACTCAATAATGCTTGCATGTTATTCATTCCTGATCAACTTAAATACTCAACGTTTGAAAACAATGAAATCCTAACTTGTAGGAAATACTTTCCCATGTCTACCCTAAACGACAACCTAAACAACCAACTACTAATACCCCTAATAAGGTGGGTACAACTTGATTCTTTCAATACTAAAGCACTACTCCTATAACAGCAAGCTTACTGTTTCTCTAGCTTGGTCTACTCATAGTCACAGTAGCAAGAGATGGGTGGTGGTACCCGGGTCAAGTGACGTGGAGGTTGACACGCCAAAACACAACACCAAACTGCGACCAAGTGAAATCACAGTCCGGGAAATGCAGTAACAGGCAAGTTCTATTATCAACCCGGGGTCTAGATCTACTGCTTACTCCGTGATTATCTATTATCTATCAAACTAATTCGAGTGATTGTTGTTTAAAGCAAAAGCAGTAAGAAAGCAGTAAATTGTTCGGTTTTCAAAGTTAGGAAAGAGTCACTCGGGATTGAGTCCCCCTAGTCCCTTAGTTAGGTTCAATTGTAATTCCCTGGGTTGATTCACTGTTGATTTGAATGCGGAAGATCAGAAAGTAGCTTGGAATCTCTTAAGCTGACCAAGCCCTCTCAGTCTAACTACCCGGCAGACGACTAGTCTTCACCGGGATAGAAAGCTGAAACAATAAGCACAGAACTCCACTACTGGAATTGAATTCCAGTACAAAGCAGTAAACTGGCTAACTCTCGTATAGCCAATCTCCTACTATCGACTGAAGAGGCTCTAACAACCTAATCAGATTCTATCTATCTCAGGTTGCAGCAGAAATCGAGAAAAGCTGATCAGACTTCAATCAATTCAATAAACATGCATCATTCGATTAAAATCAAACAGTAATATCATCCCAAGTCATTACAATCAAATCCCTAACACAAGGAACTAGGGTTCTTCATACCCAAGTGAGAGAAGGGTTATACTCCATAGAGAGAGAAGTGAAAACAGTAATCGGAGTAGTCATACTCATAATGATGAGGAAAATCTGCTCCGGGATGATGATTTCCACTCCTATGACGATCTCCAAGCTCGATTCGATGAAACCCAGCTCCAAATAGCTTCTAGGATGTGTTCTTTGTACTTTCTCTCTCTAGGGCTCTGTTTCTGCTCTCAAAATCCGATCCTCCCACTTTTGGCTCGGAATTGGCTCAAAAACCAGAATTTCCCGACTCACACGGGCAGGCCACATGGCCGTGTGGCTCACCACTTTGCCCGTGCGAGTCGAAACGCAGCGTATGGATTAGTTCGGTCTTCAGCCATCTCACACGGCCAGGGTTGCACGGCCGTGTGAATTTCCTGGGATGCCCGTGTTTGGCCTCGGCAAAAATCACACGGCCATAAGTGAAATTTGCACGGCCGTGTGATACCCACTTGTGCCCGTGTTTGCTCTCGCACAATCCCACACGGCCTGGCTTGTCACTTGCACGGCCGTGTGATGCCACGGTCTGCCCGTACGGCTTCCTTGAAACCTCGCCATTCGTCCGATCTTCGTCCAATCGACCCCGGACTCGCTCCCAAGCCTCCATTCACGTACTAGGACCTGAAATATCACAAACAAGCACAATCTAGCGTGAAATCGGCCTAAAACACGAGAATCAACACCTCAAACGGTGTAAGAACGGGGGTAAAAACATGTGTAAATAACGGTCTATCAGAGGTCCATCATGGCATGGCGGCCCATCATTACCACCCTAGAAGAATTGGCATTGTCCATAATGCCTAGCTGAACGAAACGCTCGTGGAAGACAGTGGTGGATTCCCATGTGGCATCTTCGGCGGCCAGGCCTTTCCACTTAACGAGCAACTCCTCGCACAGGCGAGAGTTGAGTTTGACCTAGCGGGTCTCTAAAATACGTTCAGGCTGGAGAAGAAGATCACCTTCATCCCCAATAGGAGGGACCTCAGTGGCAGCAGCAGGGTTGACCAGCAGGTAGCGACATAGCAACGAGACATGGAAGACGGGATGGACGCAACAGTCGGCTAGTAAAGCTAGACGATAGGCCACCGGCCCAATGCATTATGTTATCATGTAAGGACTGAAGTAGCGACAGACCAGCTTCTGAGAGGCGCGGCGAAACACCGTATGTTGGCGATAGGGTTGGAGCTTCAAGTAGACCCAATCGCCGGTAGCATACTGCACTTCACGGCGGTGAAGCTTAGCATTTTGTTTCATGCACTTCTGGGCAACAACGAGGTTGGATTTCAGCTTGTTGAGGAGGTCATTGCGGTCGACCAGGGCGTAGTCAGCTTCATGAACGGATGTAGTTCTCAGTCGATAGTAACGAATGATGGAAGGTCAACGGCCGTAGAGGGCTTCGAAAGGAGTCATGTCTGCGGAGCTGTAAAAGATGGTGTTGTACCAATATTCTGCCCGAGGAAGAGAAGCGAGCCATTTTCGTGGTTGTTGATGAGTGAAACACCTAAGATATTGTTCCAAGGAGCGATTGACCACCTCGGTTTGACCATCGGTTTGAGGATGGTAAGAAGAGGACGGTGCCGGACCGGAGGTGAAGTTCTCGCCAAAAATGGCTCATGAATACCCAGTCACGATCACTTACAATGTAGCGGAGCATGCCGTGAAAACGTACGATCCCGACGACAAAGCTATAGTGTGCGTGTAGAATATGGGTGGGAGAGAGGTAAGAAGTGACTGTACTTGGTCGGCCAATCGACGACGACTAAGACCTTTGTTTTCCCTCGGGAGCTAGGTAGCCCGTCAATGAAGTCAAGGGAGATGTCTTCCCATACTTCCGTCGGGATCAGTAGGGGCTGAAGGAGGCCGGCAAGAGATAGTGATTGGGTCTTAGCTCATTGGCAGATATCGCAAGAGTTGAAAAAGCTCTTGAAATCGTCCTTCATCCAGGTC